TTAGGCAAGGTGATGAGCTTGGATTCATGTTTGATCAGTACTCCTTGCTCACTCTTCCGAAGGTCAGTTCTGAGTTGAACGAAGGCCCCAAAAAAGTGGGGTGGCCAAAGTGCTGCGGCATCGCCGTGACGACACTTAAGCGATTCGGACGTCAAGCTGCGTGGAAGGAATCCAAAAAGGGCGCGCTCTAGGAGCCGGTGGCAGATGGTGTGATCGCGGCCAATTGGTGTGAGAGATGTATGTTTTGTGTGCCTTCCCCCAAGGTTGACAAAACTTACTGTATTTTGTTATATACTGTAAGATTGTTTCGGGTTGACCAAACAGATTTCGGGTTGACTGTAAGATATGTGCCTTCCCCCAGGGTTGACCAAAACAGACATGTGCTGTTTTGCTCCTTTTTGTTTGGTTTTTGAGAGGTCCGTGTCATGGTGGTTTCGGATGGGTGGAGACAGTGATCTCTGTGAAACCCACGACCTCGCAGGGCCCCACAGCCTGCGTCCGATGCTTCCTGTTTCGACCGGCCATCGGGCCGGGCCATGGGGCCGTGGCACCAAAAACCTGGAGAGCCCTTGGAGAGCACGGGTTCCAGTGTCCAGTTCGGGTGGTTGGTGCTTCCTTGAAGGAACATCATTTGAGGACAACATAATGTAGACTGTTGATGAACAAAGCCAGCATATGGAGATGTACAACAATTCTGGCAGAGGGTTTTACTGATCAACAGTAGTCGACATCAGGACAACAACCTGGCCATTCAGTGGCGAATCTTTAACCTTTTGGGGGAGTGGTTTCCCATGGTTTCCCTGCTGCACATCTCAAAGAAATGAACGTGGAGCCAAGGTGAACCATCTTTCTGGGAGGAAACCAGTAACCACCTAAGGGCCAGACAATGATCTCAAACTGAAAGGTGGGCATTTGCCGAGGCCTTCCAGTTGCCATCTCTTAGCCGAAGCCTTGACCTGGCTGAGTCAGGCTGGACGTGTTTGAGGGGCGTATCCAGCAGAGCTTTGGACAGGAAGTGAAGTGGGTGTCATGGATTTTCCCCTTTCCCGTTGAATGTGCGCCGGAAGCTGTCAGAACTTTTGACCGCTTGTTTTTCCAAGTTCCTCCAAGTTCAACTTCCGCCACACCATGAAGTGCGAGAACTCTGTGGTCCAAGTTGCAATGGCTCTGGAGTTTGGGTTTTGAAGAGTTTCCCTCCCAGCAAGTCCAGGGGAATTGGTAGAACCTGGAGGTTCTTTGATTCCCCCCTCTCCTTGGATCTATAGGCCCCAGGCCTAAAACACACTTAGTTAAAGGTTCATTCAGTTCCATAATCCGCGAGGAAAGGAATGAGGGAACAGCAAGGTGGCGGAGTCAGCAAAACAGAAAGGTTTTAACAACTTGTTTCACATTAGCCCTTTACAACTAGTTACTGAATACTTAGCGGACTTGAATTATGGCCGTGCAATAGTTAGGGCTAGGGAGCGAGACCGCCCGGGTAGAGTATAGACTCGAACAGGGACAACAGAAGGAAAGGCACCGACACACAAGTGTATCGAGTACCATTTCCTTCTGTTACCCCTGCAGCTGCGTTTACAGCCCTCACCAGTGGCCTCTTCGGTTGCCATCTACCACTGGTGAGAGGGATGGCCCCCCGCAGACTGTAGTTTAATTTTAAACTCCTGGATACGGATTGCGAGTGCGCACGCACGCACACACGCGACCGTCAGAAGAAGCTCGTAAGAGTTTAATTCCCGGTGGTACCAGATGTGCATTATATATATATACTGTAAGCCTTTGATACGCTTTGCGATCTATGGCCGTGAACAAAGGGCGAAGAGTCAGGAGCGGTTTACCTCGATCATCGAATGAATGAGAATCTGCAGGCGAGGTTCATGGCGTCCATGAACTCTTCCACCGAACTTCCAAAGCTGTTGCCTCCGCTGCTTTTGAACGAAAGCGTGCAGTCTGAAACTCGAGACTCGTCGTTTTTTATGCGTCCGGTCTGAATGCCTAGGTGAAACAAGTTCCTAGGCAGAGCGAGTGCAAAGGAGTCCAACCATGGAAGTAGGCTCCGCCTTCTTAAGCTTGTTTTTTTGATTTTACTGTTTGCGTGGGGGCTTGATGAATCAGAATGATTTGGAAAGTATAAAGTCTATGGAAGGCCGAGGCTCCAGTTCCAAAACGTGGAAGACCAAGCGGCGAATGCATGTTTGCAGACCTGAACCATCCTGCAACAGGCTGAGAACCTCTACGAGTGGAAGGTGGCTACAATGTTCACAAACATAGCAGGTACATGCAGGTACACACTGATGTCTCCATCCGCTTCCACTCCAGCGGTTTAGCTTCCTTGCACAAGGTTCATCGCTGGAGGCCTTGCCCCCGTGCTTGATACAACACCTTAAAGGCCCTCTATGATGAAAAGGGATACACACACACACACCAAAAAAACACGCAGGCCCTAAGGAAGCCGGCACCGTCGTGGGGCCCGAGATCGGCTGCGAGCCGGGGCGCTGGGTTCCGCAGACGAGGTGCGGAAGATCCAAAAATTCCTCACAAATTCCGAAGGCATTTTGGAACCAAGATGGACAGTGCACATGCCCATGCTTTGTCTAGTGTGATTTTTGCTGTAAATTTCCGGTCATGTTCTTATTGTTTCCCAGCCCTGAATAAGCAAATGCAAGGTCCCATCGTTGTATAATTTCTTCCGTGAAGTCGCACATCTAGGGGCTCAAAAGTTGGGGGTGTCCCAGTACCTGTAATAGACGATAAAGTGATAAACATATTGGAGAAACGCTTTGACCAACCATCATCATCCACTGTTACAGGGAACGGGATTTACCCACCATTGGCTGCCTAGCCCCTTCCAGTAGTTAGATCAGCTGCGTGGAAGTGGTATTTATGGGATTCAATCTCTGTGGGTGGATTCAACATGGGTTAGGCCCGTAAGCCTTGGACTCTGGAAGCAGAAGGCGGTTTTTGCTGGGAAGACTACACTTTCCTTTCACAAACAGAATGCGATCCGTTGTGGGTTCTGTCGCCTTGCAGGTCCATCTCCGACATGAACAACACAGTTCGACAGTATTTTTAATATCTTGATCAAGGTGCCAGCAGTTCTCAGGCTTCGTTGGGTAGGGGTGGTTCCAAGCATGGCCGCACTTGGGCCGCGCGCCCCGAGGCCAATGCCCGATATTGAGGCGAGGGGTGGGACTGGAAGCACGGGACCGCCCTCGGTGAACGGTTCTCGTTGAACCCTTTTGCACCTGATGCAGTGGGAGTCCTGGATCCATTGGGTTGGGGAAGCCTTCGATGTTGCAGTGACAGCTCCGGTTAGGGGGTCCTGAACTGAGACTGTTCGAGGACCACGGTCGTTTACAGCGGTTTGGAGGCGGGGGTCTAGTCTAGGTGGTGCAAAAGTGTTGTTCCACCCACCGCTGCCCTATAGGACCATAGGATGTCCTGCAACAACCCAGAAGTCCAAAGACTAAACATGAATTACACATTTTTGCCCACTGAAGTAAGGATGCTCCAGGATGCTTCCTTTTGCCACGGAATAGCCGAACGGACTCCCAAGGCCGAAGCACAGCACCCGCCGAAGCACCTCCAAGTCCTTCCAACAGACCGACATGAAACTGGGAATAGATGGAGTGCAGACTTCACAAGTCACACAGCTGTGCAGCTGTGGAACCTGAAAATGGACCTTTGGAAGACTGGCTGCCTCCAGCTGCATCAGTGGTTTTCATGTTCCATGTTCATCTTCCAGGATCTCCAGGGCGTAATCAAGCTGCTTCTGCAGGGCGTGACCTGTGTACCTCTCCTGGTCGCGAACGGTGGATGAGAACGCACCCAACCGAAGGGACTCACGAACTGAAGAAGCAACTAATGAACTGGTGGCTTGCGGCCGAGGCCTTGCACTGCTGTGCAGGGATCGATCATGATGCCGGGGACGATCTTGGAAAAGCGGTGCTATAATGGTCTGAGGTTGTGTTCAACAGGTGGTGCTCAGATGTAGGGCTTAAACAGGAAGTGGACTATCAAGCAAATATGAAAAAGCAACAAAAGCAAAGCAATGGGCTGAACCACTGGTCACTGGTCCGATGAATTCTCGGAACATTGTTCCTGGCCTGCTCTGAGGGTTTTTGGTCGATGGTGTTATATTTCAACCCTTCACTATTCACTTTCAGTGAGTGTTTAACTGCGATGGGTATGACATTAGCTTCAACGTTTGCAGTGGAAAGCATGATAATTTAGTATGGTTCTCACATTTTGAGGAGAACATCCATTCTTCGTTCTGAAATTCTCATCCCGGTTCTGAACATCTTCTCAAAATGCTTTCCGCGTTCGAAGGATTTGCACAACTCTGTGGAGAGCCCCACGGAGCTGGACGCCGAGGAGTGGGCTGACCGATGGTGACACCAGTGGTCACAAGTGTCATCCCGGGGGAAAGGGAGAGAAGGTCAAAAGTTGTGAAGTCATCATAATTCTAGGTGGTGGTTTTGGAACCAGGCTTTTTTTCTCTCAACTATGTGTTTGCTTGTGGAATGCCACCCCGGAGTCTAGCTCATCTCCCATGTCATCAATTCTGCCATGGCTACTCAGAGTTTGTGGCTGTATGTCTTTCCTCCGTGCCCACACACCCAGACGCACCTGTTTGCTTCGGGGAGGCGTGGCTTAGGAACCTGTGGTCTCTTGTAACATTGACACCGAAAAAGCAGCAGGTCACTACTCTACCGCAATGCATTGTAGAACACGCTACTGAAGATGCCAGGAAATGCTTAGTAACTCAATGAGATTGAGTTTACGGACCCGAAATAGATCCATGTCTAAAAAGTGCTAAGGATAATCAGATTACACGACGTGCGTTATTTTTTTGTATAATGTATTTCCATTTGTCCAATCTCTCCAAAATCTACTGTTACTGTTCATCGTTGACGCATCACATGCGTCAATTTGCTGCGGCTGTCCTCTTGGTCAAGCGCAGCACGCTACTGGAAGAGCTTGTCAGCCTCCGCCAAGCAGCCATGGATTGGGCCCGTTCCAAGCTTACCTCAGTGTCCTGCCTTTGCTGAGCACGCCGTCGATGTGCTTTCCGGACTTAATCGAATGTAAATACCAGTGCATTTGGTGCAGGCAGTTTTTTGCATTTGGGTATTTGCCACAAAAATAGATAGAGATATTTAGAGAATTATAGAGATGATTTATTAGCAAGATGTTCAATATTGATCACAGGACCTTACCTTGACATCGCCTATTTGCAGGGGTATAGGCTATAGGTCCTTACCTTGACATCACCTACTGTATTTGACTAGGTGAATAGGTCCTTTCCCCACCTATGTTCAGCTGAAACAATCCCAGGTCTCCTCCTCCTTGAAGACCTTTCGCCGCAGCAAGAGCAAGGATGCCTCGGCTGATCAAAAGGCGGGGGCCTCTTTTGCGCCTTGTTCATGATATTGCCCCAACAATGCAGTTCATTGCAGGTGTTCATTCCATGTGTCCTTTTCTCATGCATGATACTTCAAAGAGTTGAGATCCGACTTTTGATGCTTCACTTCCCTCACCAACCTCTTCGTGCTACGGAGCGACCGCACACAGAAACGCAGACACACACCGACCGAAGCTGCCCGGACCCGGCGCCCTCAAAAGGCCCAACGGTCAGTCCTTGGGCCATTGGGGGTGGGCGGCATCGATGCACAGGTGCTAGGGAACCACCAAGACTAGATCCGGTAAGCGTCAACCAGTATACACCAGAAGGGTCCTGAATCCTGAATCTTTAGTGGTGTCAGTCACCTTGAACCACGGATGGCCCAGAAACACACAGTCACCAAGTTTCAGGGGGACAAGAGTTTCATGCATGATAACTGACAACTCTTGACCCTTTTCAGATGGTAAATGGATCTTGATCCATCACCAACCCCAGATGGCCCTGCTTCGGCATCGTGCCCAGCCGCTTCTTCTTCTTCTTCTTCTTGTGCCGTGCGTTGGACGCCAGGAAGACCCACACATGGTGGCGCCGCACCCCATTCCCAAGGGAATCCTGGAGATTAAGATGGGCTCAGATAGGCCCTAGGGTGGGACTTCGCTTCGCCACCCCACAAGGGTCATGAGGGAACCTCAAACCCACGAGGGTTGTTATTCAGGAACGCACTTGTGTGTGTGTGTGATTTGTTTGGAGCACCGGGGAAAAGGTGGGTCCCAAGCCTTCCGACTGAAGAGGTGAGGTGAGGTGAGCTTCCCCAGAGGAAGGAGTCCAGAAGAGTTCGGAGCGCAAGGAACCAGCAAAAGATACGAACATGATGTTTTCATGTCATACATTACACATAACAAATACCAAGCTTTGCTTGTTGGGTCATAAGCAACACCCATCATTTTGTAGTTATTGTTAGGTGCGTGTGTGTGTTTTACAGATTTTACTTATTCTGTATATACTAGCAGCATGATGCTGTTAGATAGAGAGGAGTGAGCTTATTTTGCCACCCCTCCCAATGTTTCCAGTGGGCCAGTTACTTGCCACTGGTGACGTGCGCTACAATGGCACGTGGGCTGTGACTGGGTGGCCCAACACATGCAGGAATACCGAAGGTGTGTCCCATTATATACTGTATATATACCAGCAACAGTCGGTAAACAATTATCACTACTTTTGAGAAAGGTCAATCATGCAGTATTACTGGGCACGGGAGAAACCGAATTATATACCGAAATCGTAGTAAGAAATATACCATCTTCGACTGTTCACCTGTTCTTTCTTGCAGGTGTGTTCTTCAGGCAGGCCGAGCAGCCCGCCGCAAGCGTCCCCCGGCGAGACGTCTTCGCCACCGAGGAAAGGAGAATGTGCCCTGCCCCATCAACGGGATGTTTCTCAGCAAGGAGGCTGAGGAGGCACGAGAAGAACTTGAGAAGGATCCTGACATTCAGGAGGACCCTGGTGGATGTGCAAATCGCTTGCTACGGTACGGATTGTTTTCTCGCTGGCGCATTGTGTGTGTGTGTGTGCGCACGCACCCAGGGAGAACTGATGCAAGGTATATATCGTCGGAGTTGTTGATCAAGGGCTTGCACAAGAGTCTTCCTAGCCTTTACTTTGTCAGGCCTGGTGGTCCGTGATTCAAGTCTATTAAAATCACATGGGGGCCATCGCTGCCTTGCGGCTTCTCTCGATTGCTTCACCCTCTTCATCCCTCTTTGATTTACTATATGCAAATTGTTGGTTGTATCAGCAGGGGCGGCAGACATGGAGCCTCTCACCGAGCCTTCAGCCTTCATGCCAATAAGCTTGCCACTGACTAACATGGAAGTGGATGGCATGCCCCTGTCAAGACAAGGTCCCCTTTACAACTGGCTAGGACTAGGAGTGGTCTTCACTTCCTCCAGGGTTGTCCACTATGGAGCTCTTGCATGTGGCAGATAACCTCCAATGGATTGAATGTCATGCAGGACTTATGGGCCTACTTGTTGGCAGATCGACATAAGGAATCGCCGGGGAAAATTATGAAGGATAGAGTATAGAGGCAAGCAAGGAGCATGACCTAGAGGCAACATGGCTGCGTAGTCTTCGGACATGTTGTTGGCCACTAAGGATCCAAGATCGAAATCATCCAAGGTAGGACCACCGTGGCGCAGGTCGGCGACCAACTCGTCGCGTCCAGAATCTGCGGTCCGCATCGAGGAGCGCAAGGAGGAGAAGCAAGCACTCGTCCCGACCAAGAAGCTCCGGGACTTCATTCCGATGCAGGTGAGCTGGGTGGCACGAGTCCGGCCAGGCGGACTCGTTGGCCATAGATGGGGCCACTCAAGTGTTGAAACTGGATTTGGTGGGTTGAGTCAGGTGCAATCCTGAAAAGGTGTTCTGTATGGGACCCCTATTCTAAAAGGACAGTGAACACAGATGTGGTCTTTTTGGGGGGGATTGGGTCTTGGCTGCCGTATCTAGCACTTCAGAAAGCCCTCAGTGACGGGAGGATCGATCCCTAGCTTTTCGGAATGCCTTTGGATTCCACATGGAACTTGGCTTCACCTTAAACTCATGGCAAGATTGATTGCACCAACGGGGTTGGACCTTTAGAGCGTGGTAGGGTTTCCAACACACTGGCCTGTTCAAAACACAATTTGTTGGTGGTGGTTGCGAGGCTACTGAAACGGGGCCATTAGATTGCCGCACTGATGGTCATGAGATGTATATGTTTACAACAAAATGGTTCAAATCATTTGTTGCAACCTCTCAGGGCGATCTTTAGATGTCGCCCACAAGGGGGATCTATGGACAGATGTATTTTCCCCTAAAATGCTTGATCACCTAGTAGCCTAGTACAGGAGTTTTTTTCCGAAAGGGTTGCGTGTCCCAGGGAGGGGGAGGCCAGGGTAGGTATATAATTGGAACATGTAGGAACCAATGGTCCATTCGGTCCATTGGGGGACTTCTAGGTTTGGTTCCGAAACTATTTGCTTCCCAGCGATTTAATCTTGAGATGTTCCAAGGCATTCATGCTTGTAGGTTGCAAATGAAGGTGCTTGTGCCAGTTCTCATAACCCAGGATAGATCAAACGAAGCAATGAACACAAGCAATATCAAGCAACTATATATCAGAACACATTCACCTGTTTAAGTCACCCCTGCTGAATTCAGCAGTACATCACCTCCACCGCCAAAGAATTCACCATCCCATGTCCCCAAACTTGCCTCCTTTTCATCGCGATGAGCGCGATGGCCTCGGGACTGGCGCCAGGTCATTCATGGTGCACATTGCCCTTCTGACGCTGCAGTTGAAACAAGGGGAGGATAATCGAGGTCCTGATATCTTCATGGCACAAATGAGACCCCCCTAACAACTGATTCCTGAAAATGGATTTGGATCCGGGGTGGAAGTTTCCGATCCACCTGGATTCAAACCTGTGAATTTCAAGAATAATAGATCTGGGAAGACCGCCATTCTCCTTCATCCACCCAAAAAGGGTTCATGACCTCATCCTGTTCCTCACGTTTTGGCTCCAAATCTGGTTTGGCAGGGTGAATCAACGGCTGCGGGAGTGGGGGGTTTCCTATGCCTGTTATCCATAGGATTGCCCACAGCCCGAGCGACTTCTTATTGAACATAATCACCCCGTCTCGGTCCCAGTACGAACTGGTCAATGCGTGTGCCTGTTTAGCAAACGCTGATGGAAAACATGGCTTGTTACAAAGGACACGCTTTCAATCATACTCCTGACACCAGTTGTATAAACCCGACACATCCTGGGGCGATCCTGCGCAGTTGCACCTTTGCACCATGGGTGATGAGTATGGAAGGAACATGGTGTTCAATTGGATGTGCCCCGATTCCAGCCATAGGCTGCCTGTCCATAGTTGCAATGTGTTGCCGTTTGGGTTTGTTCACTCGACACAGCGTAATGTGCAAGCCATCTCAACTTCTCTGGGAAGAAGCAAGAAAACATCCATCAACCTCTGATGAAGCCACCTCTTGAAGTCACTTAGACTTTGATCCTAAAAAGCTCCACCCCCCAAGGCGCCGCCTGTAGAAAAAGCAGCAGGCCCAAAAACACACCTCCTAAAACACTTGCAGAGAACAAACAAAGCAACCGAGGAAGCCACCCGGCGCTTGGTGGAAGAAGTTGGCCTCGAGAAGCTTCTTGGAAAATCGATTTTCCTGGAGGCAGGGACGCTACTAGGCGCTCCTGGCACCGCTACTAGCAGCAAGCACGCTACTAGGAGCCATGTCACTGTAGCTCCCAAGGTGACCTTCACTGCAAAGAGCCAGCCATTGGTCTCGCACCACCTGGCTGAGGCAGGCACACCATTCACCGGTTCAATCATTTCTATTTAAAGGGTGTTTTGGGATTGGTGCAGGGTCCTCGTTCATTGTCCAACCAGTTAGCCGTTCCGGCCGGTTTGGGGGTTGGTGTACGTTGCATTTGTTTCTAGACCTTGCCCTCCCCGTTTTCCTACTTGGGGCTGTTTCTTTGATTGCGTGTTCTTGACTTTTCTTTTCAACCCAAGAGTGACTCTTGAACTTCAAGTCATGGCTTGGTTGTTGTTTTCTGGGGTCCTCATGCGCGTGTTTTAGATTTTTCCCAGCTGAGTCTACGCGGGCTTCAATTGGTCATTCATGTCCCACAAATGCCCTTAGGTGGCATTGTACAGGGCCCCAGCGGCACCTTTGTTTGAGGCGACCGTTGGGAATGAAGCTGCGCTGTTGTGATGTCAACCAGGATCCTCCGCCCACAGCCAGACTCCAACTCCATCCCCCACTCCGAAGACATAAGGCTCCAACGCTTCACTGAGCAGTTCTATCAGCGCTGCTTTGTAGACCCTCACATTGATCGGTGTGATCCTTGGGAGTTTTGCACCCTGCATCGAGCATGGGAGAGTCAGTCGGATTGCAACGTCGTGTCCGGTCAGATCTTCGGTATCTGGTCACCTCTGGAGGGAGGTTGTACAAGGAGTGGAACGGGGAGGGAGGTCGCTGTCCTGACTTTCCGTTACCTAGAGTTGCCCAGGGCAACTCCTGTGCCCGTAAAGAATTGCATCACTCTGCGAGAAGTCAAGGACGGGTACCAGCAATCTCCGTCAAGACAAGTCCCGGGGAGCATATGTTAGAATTCTTAGATTCAAGCGGCAATGACTCGTACTCGTAGCACGTTCGCACTCCAGATGACGCCTCATTCATGAAGCAAAAGGGCCAAAAAGCACGAATTAGCAGCCTGGCAGCCTACCATAGATGTGTCCGCATGTGTCATGTGTCCACTGTAATTAAATTCATAAGATTTCATCAGTACGCTGTTCAATTTACATTTAAGTTGAACTCATTTTGCCTAAACGCACCTTTGCCTGCTTTTAATGAAGTCATTGTTTTTCCATAGGGGTTGGAATTTCCTCTGCAAAACCCCCAGCGATTTGTTTAGCCAGATTTTCTGGGTTAACATAGAGGCTTGTGAGTAATGTTATAGAGAATTGCTGTTTTTACAAGCTCGATTCTAAAGAGGTGTTGAAGTGATGGTGCAGTGGATCTTAGTGCCTCAGGCATACTGATTCTATAGAGAATTGTTAGATATTGTTAGCATGGATTTGCATGTCAGGGACTGCAGTTCTATAGAGATTGATGTTTGGTCAGTTGTTCGAGTTCAAAACTCGTTTGATTCCGAGAGTACGCAATTGGGATTGCTCAGAACCCTGGGGAATGGGTTCTTGGACGACCTTCGACACCATAGAATCACAGACCCTTACCTGTCCATGACACCCTTTTTTATCCTTTTTTTTTCTATATAGAAATTTGTGGTCCTACCAACCGGGGAATCAATGCCTTCTTGTGGACAATTGCATTGTTCCTGTTTTCTTCGGAACCTTGTACCTTGATTTTATTGAGACCAATTTTCTCACTCCTATTGAAACACACCCATTCGTCGGTACCTCAGGACCTGCATTTTATATAGCAAAATCATCAATGCTCGCAACTCTCAATTCTATAGACCTGATTCCTTGTTTTTGTACTTTTTTCCTATGTCATTCTCAATTTTATAGGGTCAACAAGTCAACAAGTGACCATTTTTGAGGGGGGTTGGTTCCAGCATTTTAGCACTATCAAATCGCTACCCCGGGGTACCCACTTAATACCAACCCCTATGTTGTTCCTTAAATTTTGGGGATGCCACGGTGTTTGGGGGGGCCCCTTCCACTCCACCGCCGGAGCACTCCGCCCGTTTCAGCTTCATCGCGGAGCACTCGGAGCCCCACGGCCGGCGCTTCGCCTCCTGGATCGCCGCGACTTGGAGCGAGCGACCGGGAACGGAGCAAGAGGAGACTCCACTGGACACGAACGGTGGAGTGGCTGCGCATACTACCAAACGGCTAATTCTTCTAGATCTAGCAGCTGAGAAATGAGAGAACGGAAGGGTGAAAGAGAGCGAGTCAGCTAGTCCGGGGTGTCGGTCACTGATTTGGACCTGGCGTGGATGTGAGATTGAAGTCCTCCGTGTTGGAGCACCCCAAAATGAAACTGCTGGGAGTATGTTCGCCCGACCTGTGCGCAGCCAACGGCCGACACCATGCGGTCAATCAAGGTATTTGTGGTGCCATGACCCACAGCCATATGTCCATGTCTATACATTGAAGTGGTTGAATAGGGGTCATGGTGGGTCAATGTATAGATGACATATTCCACACCTGGAGTGTTTGGGTCATTTTGACCATTTACGCGTTGACCAGTGCACTCCCTGATATCATTCATGGATTAGTTGAGTTTACCACCAACCTGTCTTCGGATTTCAGGGTCCTCTTCGGATTCCATCCATTTCCATAATTATTCCGGAGTACGTGAGTTTGGAGGGTTGATCAAAAGAGGCATCAACAAAAGCCAGCATCAGGAGCACAGCATTGACTCCAACCCCCGGTCCGACCATTTGGGCAATTTTTGTGTAAACCGTCGCTTGGGAAGACTGAACTAGGAGCACAGGCTTCCACATGTATACCCAACACAAACGGAACATCTGAATGTATGTATACGAATTGATTTGGTAACATTTGGTAACCTTAAGAGATCAAACATTCTCTGTAAAGCCGGTAGATAGAGCGTGTTGGGAGCTTTTGGTGGGTGCTGAGTCGGTGCTGAGCAAAAGCCTGCCAATACCATCGACCATCATCGACCTACTTGTATGTATGGGCTGCCATGATTTGCCATGTTTGTTATATTGTGTCCTGGTTGTGAACATGTTTGAAGAGAGACCGGGGAGTAGACCGGGGCCATCCGGGGTCCCACACAGTTGCGGCTTATGCCCTCCTCACCGAGGAGAAGTTGGGCTCTGGCAACCTGTGGACCCAGGAGAGGAGGACTCGGCCCAAGATCCTTAGATGCACTGATGAGGCAGATCCAAGACGAGTCAGACCAAAGAAAACCGAGATGCAAAGCGCATCACGGTTGGTTGGCCTGAGATTTGGGCTAGAGAATTGGAACCTTGAGTCTCCACCAGGGTGGTGAAGGAGCTTAGCAGCTAATAGCACGAAGCTGCTGTAAATGCACCCGTTTAGACGACTTTTTGCCGCAGAAAATGGCGTCCTGGAGAGGTATCTGAAGGGAGGTCTAACAACCAATTCAATGCTGAAATGCTGTTGCGAATGATGGGGTAGAATGAAAAGTCCAGGGTGAAGCATTGAATGTCAACAGACATTAAATTAGCCTGATTGCTTAAGGTCCGTGTTTTTTTGCCGCACTTAATCCATTAGGATCGTTTAAGCAAATCCATCAGGATCGTTTCCGCTGTGGAAGTTGATTCAGGATACCCATTGACCCGTTGGGACGATCTTCTCAAATTGCCAGACTCAGGAAGTTCATGCACTTTGGCGATGAGACTATGCAGGCACGGACGTGCAGTATGGCAGATCGCCGGCTTGAGAGGACGATGGGCTGTTGTTTGGTAACTTCAGGTGAACTACAGTCCATACAGTACAAGTCCCTGCAATTCTGTTTTAGCAAAACACACACCCAACACATCCCAACACCATATAATTATAGAATGGTGATAACATATGATAACACCATATTATATATATTATATTACATTATATTATATACTATATTATATCATATTTATATATATATATTTGTATTGTATTAACCCTTTGATGGAAGAACTTGCTCAAACATCCAGGGAATCCAGGTGGCCAATGTGTTTTCTGCGACTTGAAAAGGAGAAGAAGTCACATCACCCGGGAAACATCCTAAGTGCGTACTCAGAACACATTTTCTAGTCCATTCATGGGGTTTCCCCCATGGGAAACCGGAAACGTGCCTCCCTCCCTCCGCCCCCGACAGGTCTCGCATGACCGCAGCAGCTCCCACTTCGCGGCCTGGTATTCACCGAAGCCCGGTGGACACCGAAGCCCGGGTCGAGGTGTTCAGAGCCACCGATAAGGGTCAAGGGTTTTGGAATGAGACCCATACCATACCGTTTAATTAGTTTGTTTCCCTTTCCCCAGTGGTTTGTGGTCTTCCGTCTATAGATTTTCACGAGCTACTCCTATACTGTATTTTAAGCATTTTTTGGCGCGTGTGTGCGTGTGCTCTTGGCTGCTATTCAAGCCGCCAGAACTTCAGATCCTTCACCAGGCGAGGCGAACACGGGCGCCGTGTTCCACCGTTCCACAGGTGTTCCACTCTGTGGAGCCATTCCCGGGCTCCTGAAGTGAAGGTCTATCTGTGTCTTTCCTCCATAGCCGGTCTTACTTCTTCTAGCCGGCCCTGGAGCCCGAGGAAGCGCGAGCCCGAAAAGCTGGGGCAACACTTCAAACCTGAGGAGACCGAGACGAGACGCGGCAAACGACGTCGTGGAACGAGAGACGTCGAGACGTCCAGACGTTGGAGACGAGGCGGTGAGAAGGTTGGTTTCGGACGACTGCGTTTGTTCTTCGGTCGACTCTGTTGAACGGGTGAGGTTGGAAGACTTCTGTTTTTTTTAAAAAAAAATTGTTTTCAATGGTTGACTCTGAGTGTCAGAAGTAAGAAACGATGGACTTAGATTGTGTATCACTAATATCACTCTATGATGTAAATGATAGTTTTTTATTTTAGGTGTGTTCAGGTTATGCCTCAGTTTTTTTAGTTCATCCCATTTAGCAGGAAGGGCACAGGGTATACTCCATGAGCAGTTGGCTGTAGACAACAGATTTTTTGCGAGGTCCCTTGAAGCAAGCGCTTGTTGTAGAACACTGTCCAACGAAATGCAAACCACCGGTATGATTGAATTGCGTAAGCTCGATTTGTTCGCATCACCAAATCGGTGTACGTCATACCTCTTATACATGCGCATTGGGTCTCTTTGTAGTTGGAGGTCGACCGCAATTTCTTGGATGCAGGATGCGCGTGTTTGGATGCGGCTGCACTTCTGGGCTGCTCGCGAAACAGGCCGTCCCATGAGTTCCTTCGACAGGTTCTGAGCACAACTCTGCTAAATTGTTGGAAGAACCGAGCCGAGTCCAAAAGAGCCCTTCTTCGATCAAAGTTTCTCAATCAACCTGTTCCTTTCGTGTTGACAGGCATGGTTGTCGTGCAGCTATATTTAGTGGAGTTTTAGAGATTTACAAATTTACAATCTATAAGACCAATGTTTTAGAAAACAACACCTTGCTAATGTTGGATCTTGATAAGTACCGGGGGGGTCCCCCTACAGCTATGCAAATAGGAGACTGCCTATAATAAACTACCACCGAAACAAATCTGGATTCCTGGGAGGTTTCCTTTTGCAATTGATTGTATAGTATTCATTGTCCTTTCATAGATGTATTGATTTTCATTTTTCTTGTTCTTTGTATTTATTCTCAGCCTCAGAGCTCAAGAATAGTTTTGAAGAAGAACCAGGGAAACATAGGGAAACCGGGAAACCTTTGTCATTTGTATATATAATTACCATTGCTTTAGTAGTATTGAGATCTTAGGAAAGGATGCATGTTTACAATTTTCCCAGGGGGGGAAACACATTTCATGATTGACCGCCCATTGAACAAATCTATGATTTAGGATCACGGCCTAGCTAGAAAATGTGCTCCTAAATCAAGGAATTGGTGGCTTGGGGAAGCTGTCAGCTGGGAAGAACTAACTAGAGAAACCTGTATCATGTGTATAGTTGCCATTGCTTTAGTGGTATTAAGATCGTACGAACGGATATTTTCCCTGTGAGAAAATCTGCAGTAGATGACTAGTGACTAGCAGATAGAATATACAACCATAATGTGTTGCGGATTTGATTATTTGCTCCGCGAGGCATAGCCAAGATAGAATACAAGATTTTGACATATATGAGATAGAATTCGCAGAATGGAGATGGAATATGTTTATTGAATCTGGACTGAACGGCCCCTTGTGTATTCCAGGGTTTGTGTTTTGGAGGTGTGCACTCCTCAAAACTTTTCAGCTACTGTACGGTAATCTTAAAATCTGTTTGTTGCAATCATGGCAATCTCAAAACTCATTCTTTGAGGTCATTGCTATTAGGTTGGAGGTCACCACTGACACACATAGTACTAATGACACCACAAATTCTATTTGCACATCGCTGCCGGATCCTGGGATGTATTGTTATTTCTTTTTGATTCTAACTGTTTTAGATATTGATGGCTTTGGGAAGCTGTCAGTTTTGAAGAAGTAGATATATAAACCAACATCATTTATGTTTTGTATATGATTACATATTATGATCATTGCTTAATTACATAGTATCAAGATCTCAGCAAAGGCTTCCGCTGGGGAAAGCAACCTAGTTACCAAAAAAACCAAGCATAGTTAACACGACAGACGACCCTTGAAACAAACAAGGGTTGAACAATTGAACAAATCGCAATCTTGATGACCCTGCTAATGGTGATTCAACAGTATAAGCGGAGATGCTCTTCACGTCTCGTCGCCACCTCCGAAGGGTCGGCCCCCGTGGGTCGGAGGCATGTATGAAGAGCATCCCGAATTCATGGACTACTACCAGCGCTTCATTGGCCCCTGGTCGATGGCGAAGGAAGTCCGTGTGTGGATGATGCCATCGTGGGTGGTGTTTCTTTTGGAGTGTGTGCTGAGGTCACTATGGTCCAGGATGGTGAACTTCTTAGGGGGTTCCGGAAGCTGTTGCTCAAACGCAATAACCAAGCATGTCGAAAGAAACCATCCAGGCACAACCAGGCACAACCGTTGCTGGGATTGCTCGTTGGTTTCGTCCTCTCAGGCCATTTCATCAGCATCTACTCCTCCAAGTCGCCGCCCTTCACACGGGAGTCCGCGCGCTGGTCCGCAGACCCTGCCAACATCGAACGATACCAGAAGGCGCGGTGTCGGCTGCGTGAGTGGCTGCGAGTGGGACCAGTTCTGTTGGACATATGGGGTCATGGGCACAATATTAATGCAAAGCATCCAGCCAAATGTGATTCAGTCTTATCAAAAGGAATTCTGAAGCAGTTTCTGTCTATACCTTCTTCCCTATCTACGTCGACACGGTCGTGTTTCCATCCGGTTTCCATCTCCACGCCTCGGGTCCCCACACCAGGCGGGAAACCGCATGCTGGACGTTCTGGGGAAGGACGTGGACCAGGAGCTGCAAAGACTTCCAGAGGAGGAACGGAGTCTCGGAGCCTTTGGGGTCGAATTGACCCATTCGAAAAACCTTCCTGTTCATATTCACTCAGTGCGTTGGCATATCGAAGTTGCGCGTAAGCAAAACCTGCACGCGCGTAAGGTTGCGTAAGCTTTTGTTTAAACGAAACCTTTTGCGTAAGCCATGCGTAAGCTCTGAAGAAATACCTGAGAAATACATGAGCACCCCTCTCAGAAGTGCCAGGACTAAGGAACAGTCCAACTCCACACACATACACAATCCAAACTCGAATTGCTGAAAACACAGTCCAAACACCACAGCTGAACAGTCAAACCTCCGTGTCAGACATGAGAAACTCCTGGTAACTGTTTTGAGTTCCGGCGCGTAAGCTCCGCGTAAGCTCCGGTGTCCTTTTCCACCAGTAGCCCACATGCCTCCTTCTCCGAAACCGTTGCGTCAGCGGCAGCGTGTGGTTGAAGACCTCTATATACAATGTGGTTTGCGTATCGCCCTTCCACTTCCACTTCTCCACTTTCCTGCTGCTGCTGCTGCTGCTGTTGGGTTGCTTCTGCCTTTGAGTTTTCTTCATCCTAATCCTCAAGTGCTTCTTCAGCATCCATATCGGAAGATTAGGTGTAGTAGATGTCCATTGCACAAAGTATGCAGCGCGTAAGCTCACGTTGTGGTGTCAGCTGCATTTTGTGCAAAACAGGTGTCGCGTAAGGTCTGCGTAAGCCCTTCTTGCTCCAAGTGCACCGCGTAAGCAAAAATGTGAGTCGCGTAAGGCAGCGTAAGCACAGGCGTAAGCACAATGATACGACATGGGATTTCATCAAGGTTTTCAGAACCGCTCAATTGGGGTCGAATTGGAGGAACAGAACTCGACACCTGGCTGGGGGCACTGGACCTACCAAGAAGTGCACCTGCCCCAAGCTTTTTCTGGGGATGTGGGGACACCCCGCTAAAACAAGAGCAGCGTGGAAAAAAAAAAAAACAAAACTTTTACTTTTCGGAAACTGATGGAAACTGAGTGGATCAATGTAGGCACTCGGGATCCAGTTATACAATGACATTATGATGCAGCAAAATGTTGCTGCTGCTCCAGTTCTGAGTGGCATGCAATAGTTTGCCAGGTCCTAGTTACTAGTTGCTTGTTGTGATTAACAGATTCAGCCTTGTCACTTATAAATTATACATTGTAAGTGAGTGCACTCCAACAAACCCAATACTTGTCAGCTCAAACAATTGTTCTTCCAAAAACTAGGCGTCTTCAGTCCTGGAATCTGGCCAGATCATTTTTAGACCCCCTAAGCATCATTGGACTGGAGAGTCTTGACGTGGTCCAGGGCCGCAGGGGTTTTGGGACTGGATTCACCAACTTGAGGGTCCGGAGGCGGTTCCGCAGGCGGTTCCGCAGGCGGTTGATGCCCCGTCGCCCCCCTCCACGGCAGAGGTCCGCTCCGTCGCCCGTTGGACGTCGCTCGACGGTGATGCTCAGGATCTACACCGGCTCCCGTCATCCCAATCCTGCCTGGCCATACGGAATTCAGAAGTTCTCCTTGACTTGAGGTGCGGCGGAAAGAGACGGAGGAGGGGGTGAATTCCGGGGAGCTGCAGAATGCGAAAAAGGAGTAGTGAATTCCTTGGCACAAATGGAAGGATTGGGTTCATCAACCTCAGATGGGGGCCACCCTGGGAGTTTGCATCAAGCATGCAGGTTGACTGCGTTGACGGTGCATCATGTGAGAAGGATGTTAATGTCAGATGCACAGACTATAGCAAATAGTGATATGTGACTATTAAAATACTAGCCAGTAACACCGTCAGAGCAAATAGGAATATATATATATATATGGACCCTGGCCCATTCCTGGAGCGATACCAGTTCGAACTGGTTCCCATTATGGCCAATGGAATGAGACGGCCCCAATTGGATCCTGTAAAGGTGAAGGTCGCAAGGTGACGTGCGTTTTCGGGAGTGATGACCGAAGAAGGTGCTGAAAGGCTGAAAGGGGAACGGGATGAACATGGATGAACCCCTTGCTTGAGCTTGCGCCTGCTTTGTTCAGGCGCTCTTGGTTTTCCCAGGCTCTTGAGAGGCTGAGAGTGTCCAAAAAGAGGAAGATTTCGATGGTAGGCGCTTCAGCTATTTCACAGTGCTTAGCGCGCTTGATTGTACAGGCCTGGTTGGCAGTGGTGCAAGCCGATGATGTGCTTGCACCCTTGGCAGCCTCAACCCTGGAAATATGATGGGTTGCTGCTGTCTTATCCACGCCCAATGAATACCGCTCGGCATAGTTCATTTCTTTGCAGGTATGCCGCAGATCAGTTGTGCGAGTGGAATGTGAACATGACCACTTACCAGACACTACTGTACTTTCCTGTACAGATTCGACTTTTTTCCATGCCCATGTTTGTTAGTGTCAGAGTTGTCAGAGCGAAAAGACAAAAGAAGAGCACAAACCCACGGAACCAGGCAGTGAAAGAAGTCAATCATGACCAACACTTTTTTTGGTTTTATCCTGTAGTAAGCATGAATCTTCCGGATTCCAGATCTCTCGTTTTGGTTAATGTTGTTTTCTTTGATGTCTTGGAAGAGGAACACCCGACTTGAACTGGGCCAAAAGGTGTGTTTGTGTTTTACAGGTCGGACACATGGCGTGGTATTCATGGGACGGAGTCTTATTTTTGAAGGCTCAAAGATCCCGAAAGGAAGCTAGACATGAAGGAACCTGTATCAGACTGACTGAATCGACTCCCTTTTGACAGAAGAGTGTATCTTTGGAGCCTTTCATTCATTCAAAACAATTTTTGAATGCGCCGAAGGCTGCACGCCTTTGTGAACAGTTGAGAACTCTCTCCAGAACGCATAAGCCGATCCTGCTTGTTTGGTGGGGACTCTATTGGTGCCATTCATCGTCATGCAATTGTTTCTTCATGCCAATGACGGCCCATAGTTGCCCGGGTGGTTATCGCTGGCAAAGAGTCGGGTTCATACTGTTTTGGCTATTACATGCTAATACTAGCTGGAAGTGCTGAAGGTGCTGTGAACTGTGTGGAACGATTAAGTAATTAATAACTTCAACTTCATCTTAGTCATAAAACGGCATACGTATATATAGGCGTTTGATGAAGTTATATAGATCGTTTACTGCTTCTGGTAGCTGGCAGCATGAAGCAGCAGGAGCAACCTCGGAATTGGGTTGTCCAACCAACCAGTTGCTATAGATGATTTGTTGAAAGGTGGTTGCGTTCATGCGTGCTGGAGCACCCAAGCAAGCCCGCAGAAGCTGCGGGTGGTTAGCAAAGCGGAACTGATCATGATGAAAAAGACGTGTTTCTCGTGCGGCTGTCCGACCACCCAGATGACCCAGACTGGCAAAATCTCTCAAGGCACTGGATGACTCCCCAATTTCTCCAACTAAAAAAACACACAAGGGGACATCCACAGATTTGCCATAGATGAAGCACAGTGGCAGACTTGTTGGGGAGGTTTCTGGCTGCCACGTAGTCTAGAAGCAGCCAGTTGTTCCTCCCGAGAACGCCTGATTCTGACAGATGGACCTTCGCATGCCTTCACGCATCCTCGCGCTTCATTCAATATGCATGTATGCACCCGTTTAATATAACCTCCCTCAAGAAACACATTTTAAGAACACCCCTCAGCCCTCTCAAAACATGGATTTCCTGTCGTTGATTTCGTGGTCAAAACCAAAAGGCTTCCTCCCCAGCCCTTTTCACAGGAGGCAGCCCCACCCATGGTCCGGGCGCCAGCCTCGCTGCGCGTGGCGAGTTTTGCCGGGCTGGTTGCGCTGGGTCGGCGCGTGGCGAGTTTCGCCTTTTGATCAAAGGGTCAGTTCATTGGTTCATTGGTCATGTAGACGGTTGATGGTTCGATCCCTTCCCTAGCAGAAGGCCTTTACAGCAACTCTAGGCTGCGTAGTTGATTCATAAAGAGTCTACAGGAGTTCGTCGAGAGCGGAAGGTAGTTTCAAGGTCCTTCCTCCAATTTCAACTGCATTGTTCAATGCTGAATTGCTTAATGTTGCTTCATCATCATGTCAATGCTCCCTTCGGACGCGAAGTGGTTGAGGCTCGAGGGAGTTCGGGCTTAGTTTTTTGTTGGAGACCATGAATAAGGCTTTAGGCGCAACATGCGCCTGGCATTCTGTCGCCACACGTTGGCTACTTTCGCGTTGTGAGTGAAGAGTCTTCGTACCAAGTTGCCAAGTGAAAGGCCTTGAGTTCAACTAGTGGAAAGCTAGTTGATGCCAATAGAACTTCTAGCTAGAAGCCGAAGTCTTTTGAAAAGCCAACAAAGTAGAGACTTCACTTCTAGTGTTTTAGGGCAGATGGCCTCCAACAAATTCCATAGGATCCGTATCAACCAACTCTTAGTTTTGTTGCCATCTAGACCTGTGTATAAAAAGATTTATGATGATCCATGTTTTTGGTGTCCTTCACCGCAGCACGGAATCTGCGGGAATTGTTCTCCTTCATCCTACCAAGTCAGACGGTGCAGTTGTTTGCGTTTGAAAACCGCACCGAGGTTCAATCGTTGTTTCAGCCTGGGCATCTCAGCGGTCGGTCGGGTGGTGATACACAAGCGGTGGTTGTGAGCGGTGGACGCTGGTCAAAAACAGAAACTCCTTCCATATCCTTCCACTACCCACACTTTCCCTTCTGAATTTATAGTTAATTCATGACAGGAAGCTTGTCATTCCGACTCATTCCCAAAAAGCCTCTTAGAGCGCACATCACATAGAAGTGGACCAGGTTATTGTGGGTTTAGGGTGGCACCGGGAACTGTGGAATTTTGTCAGGAGGGCTGTCGCGGGAACGAGGCATTTTGGGATGCGATGAAAGCCGAGCGTTGAAAGCCGTTGAAAGCCGTGTCATTGAAGAAATCCCGCGCTGTCGTAAGTCCAGCCATTCTACCAGAATCAGGTATGGGCAGAGAGTCCAAAGGTAAAACCCTATAGGGTTTCATGGGCTGGGCTTGCAGGTCTAGCAACTTGTGAGGATGTGGTATGAACCCTAGGGACATGACACGAGCAGACACATGTTGTTGGGTGGAGTTTGCTGATCTATATATACTTCTGCTCAGTACTTTCTTCAGACCAGGAGATCGGGTCTCGCAACCTGGTTTT